CCACAGGTAATATTTTTGGTGCAGCTATCATTTTTGCACTCCAAAACAACACAATAAGGTAAAAAACCCTCCATTTGCAAAATCCGTAAATGTTGTGTTGTGCAGCGATATTTATTCATACAAGAAATAAAGTATCTATTTTTTGCTCGTCACTGTGATGAAAAACATTGTATGTAGCACGGGCGGTAAAAATTACAAACCTCGAGTAAGCTAATTTATAAGTAAGCTTATTTTTTTTGCGAAATATTCGTTCAGATTTTTCCAGCATAAAAACTTTTTGCTTAATGTTGACGTAAAAAATCAATAGCGCTATACGATAATGTAATGAAATAGCCCGTGGGCATAATTTAGGACATTACGGCTGACTTTGACTGCGTGCTATGACACTGTTTACAAGCAAGTGTGACGAAAACATCTTTGTCGGATCATCGGTTGGATGGTTCATAAAAATGTACAATTTGTAAGGGATGCCATTCTCGTCCGCTTGCGACGACTTTACTAATCGTTCTGTATGTATTGATATTCCCTCGAAAAGTGTGCTAAAGCTCTTATTCATCAAAGCTGTAAAGAGAGAAGATAAACGAGTAGTACTGGGTTATTTTGGGGCACTCCCATCCACTTAGCGGAAATAAAGATACCCAGTTGGTTTTTTGAACACATTCCTTCGCTTTAGTGGATAATGGGGCAAAGTGGATTAGTCCGTACACGTCTTTCCGTTGGTCATTATTTTGAAAACTGGAATTTATTGAAAGTGATAGGTTTCGAGTTCTTAGGTTTTCGCGATTGTTACACATAGAAATCAAACTATTTTTTGGGATTTAAACCGTGTATATTTGTTTTTTTTTTAAACAAACCAACGTTTCGGGCCCTTTACAGGTCCCATGGTCACGGGTTGACAGCCTCCGTGGCCGAACGGTTACAAAGCCGAGGTCCCAGATTCGATTCCCTGACCGGGAGAAATATTTGTATGGCCTATATTTATTTCTCTCGTGAGTTTGGGTGTAATTTGTGATTGTCTATGTGTGTGTCCATGGCACCCACGACACAGAGTTTCCGTAGTGCGGGGCTATGTTGAGTGTGTGCGTTATTTGTGTTTATATGTATATCGAATAAATAAAAAGTGCAGCCAAAGGTTGCGTACCCCCGAAACATTGCCAATAGGATAAAAAATCTTTCCACTAGAATAAGTTCTTTAAACTTATTTTATCAATAGGATGTTTTAAATAAAAATGATGATTGGATAATATTTTGTTTGTACATACACACAATTTAAGAACAATATAAACCATCTTGCATTATTTTGTAGACCTTGTCACGTTTCTACTATTCTTAAAATCTTTTTTTGTAATGGTAACATCTTTGTTTACATTTTAGGCGATTTTATCTCAGAATATAAGTACACTTGCAGCATCTATTTAGATATATGTCTGTGAATGCGTGTATAGCCGCGTAAACCATAATTTATTACTGAGTCGGCAATACGTACAGTATAAATCACTCTGAGTGACTTATACGGAAGTTTTTATTTCAATATAGACGGTTTAGCCACAAAATTCTTAATTTGTTACATACGTGATCTATGTGCGGTCTAAATAGACAATTTATTTAGATTACTGTGGTATGGAGTTACACGTACTTATTGTACCATTATACGCCATGTAGATTTGTATCCCGATGCTTTAGGAGGATTGTCCTATCAAGACCGCGTCGGGCATTTCGTTGTTTCTTGTTGTGACATGTGTACATCATGTCTTATGCGTTCCATATGACGTCAAGTGACGTAATGAACGAGCCGTGCGATTGGTAGTAAATTATTATTATCGCTTATCGCTTATTATCGCTTATAGATAAAATTATCCGTGTGACATTTCGGACCGTTATTTCTCGAATTCGGAGCCGGGGTCTACTCTCGATCTCCGTCCGAAACAATTACTGTCAAATAAATAATATTCGACAATATTAAAAGACAAATATCAAGTATGAAGCTTCATTCGCATCACGCGTCTTTTCATTTGGTCAAGTATTGCTTATTTGGCAGTAATTGTTTCGGACGGATGTCGGACGGAGATACGAATATACTGATACGAATCGGATGTAGTGCACAAACGCTCTAAGGCTGTTAAGAAATTGACTGCATGTTTCCAACAAACAACTTCATGCAACCGAGACCTCAACTGCATGAAGTTGATAACGACTTCTCGCATTAACTGCATGCAGTCGATCTCGGCATTCACCTCCAAATTTGCTCCTTTAGAGGTGAAATATGTCCTTCAAATTTAAATGAGACCAATACTGACGTAACATACACACAAAATAACAGAGCCGAATTGAGAACCTCCTACTTTTTTGCGTCAGTTAATTACCCTGTTAACTGTCACCATCCAATGAAATATCGTCCAATTATTTTACATGTATGTTAAGCTCTTTTATTAATTAAAATGTTTCTTTTTCATGTGCGGCTGGCAGAGCGCAGTTGGAGTAAGTAGCTCTTTAATATTTTATAATTATAACTTTTAACTAATTAGTTTTGTTTAGTAAAACCGGGTTTTTAAAAGCCTCTTAATTTAAAATTTAACATGAATAATTCCTATGGATATAACTAGTTTAATCTTTCACATTAAGAGATTTTATTGATCTAACATTTAGAGACCTATTTGTTTGAGGATAGATGCCTACCTGTATGGATAGACGCCAAACGATGAAAATACTAAGAAGGATAGATGCCCTTTAGAATAAAATTAGTAAAATGTTTTATTTGTTATCTTCAAAATATTGCATATACATATTACATCTTCAATAATAAATATGTACGTATTTAAAGTTACTACATACTTTCACTTCGTATTTTTGAAGCTATCAAAATATTCTGTACAAAAATGTTCGCTGTTTGAACTGTGAATCATTTACTTGTCTTTTTCATTAAAATAATGTATTATTTTATTTTCTTTTCCTAACTTTCTCGTGTTGTCGTTTGCCCCTAAGGGCACCTATTCCGCGAAAAATCGAGGCGACTATTCTATTCGATATGGATAGATGCCTTTTTATTATTTAACTGAGCTATATACAAAAGAGCGATTATTGACACCTAGGTGCGCAGATAATGAATCAGTGTATAGTTATAATAAAAATAAAAGGGAATTTATTATAACTTACAAAGTTATGCTACAGTACATACTTGCGCCTGAAATTTTGAACCGTTTGTCGTGTTCATCGCGGAGGTATATAGACGCATGCACAAGCTAAACGCGTCTATTCCACACGAAGCCCTGCAGGAACTTTGATTAGTGGTGTCTACACTCCTTATTTAAACTAATGATTCTTTGTTACGATTTGGGGAAGTTAGGTTTTTTGAAACCCACTGCGGCATCTATCTCGGTTTTACCCTAAATAAATTAGTCATGCCACGAACATTCATTTTCTGTAATAAGACATTGAATACAAAAATTGCATATTAAAGCAACATGGCAAAAATTATTTATTAGTACAAAAATAGAATTATAGTCTGGCCGATGAAAGCTGGCACAAAAAGAGAGCTGTAGTTTTGAAAAATATTGTGCTTGCAACACCGCAGTCAGACAAACAGCAGGCTTAGCATAAGCCCGAAGACAAAAGTTGTCTCTTCTTCGTACTGTCAATTTCCTCTCGAAAATGACGTCACTGTGAAAGTTACAAACATAGTTTAAGTTTGTTGTAGTAACAAAATATGGATTAAGTTGTTTGAGAATAAAATATTTAAATTTTATTCATAACCAGAAATAGAGACGACATAATCGCCATCCATACCTGGCAACTCGTCAGGTAAATGGGCCGTATATCATTTTTAAATTTAAATTTCAACTTCTGTTTGCACTGAAATCACAAATCAGAAAGCTGACATTATACAGCGCCACAACAACAACAACTGACCTGTGCGTACGTCTCCGTATGTTCCAAAAATATTCTGTATTTATTGTAATAAAGATAATATCTCTAATTATGGGGTGCTGTTTCATTCGGTGGTGTGTGAATAACAGCAAAACAACTAATTACTAAACAAACGGAATCACATTTCATCGGTAATTAAATATTAAATATGGAATTTTCAATTTTCGTCCATTGTAGCAAAGCTCAAGTTAAACTGGTCGATTTGAAGTGAAACAATTGACGACACCCGTCAATTGAGTCAAATTCGGGCTGGCCAATCAGAGCGCAGTTGTCACTGCAAGGATTTGGTAGAATAGTTTTCCAACAAATTAAATTACATTTCCTCTCTATTTCTGGTTATATTATATTCAATGTCATAGTCATTTAATTTTTAAATTATGTTTTGTAAAAAGTCATGGAACAAAAGTTATAGATAATGATGTTAGTAATCTAGTCCTGCGAGGTTGATAATATTTTAAATATAACCCTGTATATAATGTTTGCATGATGCAAGCGGCGTAAACCCATCTCCTTCTACTTTTTCAAGACCGATTTCAATTTTCTTATTTCAGTATCGATGGCATACACTATACCTAATGCTTGCCATTGTGATGAAAACATTTGCTAATCTGCGTACGTGTACTCACCGATTGTTACGTTACCGGGGCTCCTTTTGTACACCCCACAGATTTTAATTAAACTTTTCCACTAGTGTCCTGTGCTTATCTTTGCTTTGAACATTTTTTTTTATGATGCCTAGTGACAGGACGAACAAGGTAAGGGCCTAAGATATAAGTTGACAAGTCCCATGTGCCTGTCACAAGCACCCTCTTCAAAATCGGATTGCAGTAATGCTCAAATTACTGCTTGGCGGCTGAAATAAGCAGTACTTTCCTGGACGAACTCTTTCACAAGGAGTTCTACTGCTACTAAAAATGGATTCCGAATATTTGAAAGGGTAAATCTATTTCCCTTTTTTCGAATCACACTCTATTGTGTTGCAGCATGTTACCATTTCGATTGTAAAACGTTATAATACAGTAAAAGCGGTGTGGCTAGGTCACTGACTAAATAATTTTCACTCAGGACTACATCAACGAGCTCTCCGCAAGCTAAGTCCCCAGCGGGCAGCAGCGCCGGCGCAGCTGCCGGCGCATCATCAGCGCCGGGAGAGCGCACGCCCACCGCGCATAACAAACAACTGCAAAATGTCAAGGGACAGGAGCACCCGCCGCATCCCTCCGTAAGTATATAGATTTCTCTACTTATTATTGTATTATGATTGTAATTGAGATGTTTGCTGTTAGACTGTCGGAATTAGAAGATACAGATACGTAGTTATATATTTTGGATTTAGGTACTTTTTAATTATTTTAAGTATGGATTTAGCATATTGTCAAACATTGTACACGTATAGCCTGTGAGTGAAGTATATTAAGGTGACCCTGAATACTCTGAGGGTATAATATAACAACGCGTTTAGGATGTTGTTGGGGTTACCGCGGCACTGTAGCGCTTCAGGTATGTTCGCTAGGAAGCGGATTGCCTTCGAATCAATTTTACCATTAATGTTATAAGTGGTACTAACCTGTCACATTTATACCCGTAATAGTATATATGACACTAGTTCATCCCAGTTATACCGTTGGATAACAAATAATCGTACAAATGGTACTTACCTGTTAGTGGAACATACCATTAAGACTATAAGTGGTTCCACTTACAACAAGTACCATTTATAACATTATTTATTATCCTAAGGTACAATTGGGATAAATTAGTATTACCTATACTATTACAGGTATAAATGGGACAGGTAAGTACCACTAATACCATTAATGGTATAAGTCAACGGTATAGCTGGTCCGAAGACAGCGGATTGTCTCACTTTTGTGATGTGTGCGTAGGTGCCCAAACAGCATTCTGACTGTTGTAGCGGATAGAATTGATTGCCCCATCCAGGACCACTGGATGCAAATTATATCTTAATTCCGTAATTGAATTTTAATTTGTTATTGAATCGCTTCACACACCTATATAAAAAATATAACCTTATTTTAATTTTAATATATGAATTGTATCATACTAATTTATTCCTAAGTTTTTGACTAACAAACTATGGATAGTAGTTTTTGTCGGAAGTGTTATTATTATTAATTGTAACAATAATAATGAGTTGTGCATAAAAATTAGATCAACCTTAGATATAATTTGCTCATTTAGTGCCACATATATATATATATTTTAATTTTATTTTATGACATGTACAATACATGCAAATTTAAAATAACTGCCGAGTTTTCTCCAAACGTGAATAAACACTTGTTACAGACGTTTTTATATACTTAAATAAATTTTACCTAACTTTACAATGACGTCAATGTAGCACTAAATAAGCGAATTGTTTACAGACTATATCTGTAATATTAGCTGATCTTATGGACTTTTCAGTGATAGATAATGAAGGACTGCTAGATTTTTAGAGGAGATTGTACCTTTCAATGAGAACAAATATTTTTAAGTGCACTCACAAGTCGTATTTTTCGCGCAAACGAGGCGCAGATGACGCATGAACGCGATTCAAACGAGATTCAGTATAAACCTTTGTTAACAAATTCAGTTACGTGATCGCGCGATCGTCTCTGGTTCCTATCCTTAAGCCTTGCAACGCGATGTTCTTGCTGATATTGCTGAAATGATACAGACGAGCTTTGAACGCGGTTCTCGCGTACGTTGGTATAGCTTTGTTTAACACAAACGCAACAATCTACTTTTTGAGCTTCTGCGAAGTCGTAAACGCGTGTCGGTGAAACGCGCTCCGTATGTGCGTAAATAATACGCCCTGTGCGAATGTTCTACGCAGTGGCGTAGCTTCGATTTCTGCCGCCCGGGGCCAATCTTAAATTTACTGCCCCCTCTATTTTCACGATTACAGGAGAAGTTCGTTCTGCTTGGCTCGATTGTGTTTTTATGTTCGCCTGACATCGCCATCTTTGTGTTGTTCAGGATATCGTTTTATCAAATAGTGGAATTTATTTTCTAATTTTAAGTAAAAAATAAAATTTTACTAGTTATCCCCACGCTATACCATTAGTGCCGGTGGCCCTCTCTGGAATCACGTAAAAATATCAGATGTTTCATTATCAAACAATGTGATTGAAATAAACAAAATATAATAATTTTAAGTAATCAATTGAATCATGTTATGATTGATTTCATCAATTACCTTAATATGCGGACTTGATTGAAGTCAATTAATTTTTTCAATGAATATTTAATATGGAATATTTTATTTTAAATTCGGGATTTCATCAAAAAAACATACGTGAATAAAAACCATATTTTAGAGAGTTCCCTCGAGACCATGGCTGTGCAATACGTCCGGAACGTCGGGGTAAATAAAATAGAATTTTATCTATACACATATCATAAACCCTCTATGTTCAAAAACCGCAAATTACGACTAGCATAAAGGTAAACTGTTTTGTAACAACAAATTTCTTATTTGTGAAAATGTTATTATTACTTCACAATAACATCGAATTCGATGTTATTATTACATTCAAATTTCGAACATCTGTGAAAAACAAAACAATTTGATTGGACCTCAATTCTAATATCAGTCGAGATGAAGTTTTATTCGAAATGAAATGTCAATAGCAAACAATTTTGACAAATCTCACATGTTACTTGATATGGAACGATATGATAGTTGGGGCCGACTCTAGTTTGTCTATGAATTAAAAAAAACTACGGTTGCGTGACATGCGTGAGAAATAAGTTTTTTGCATTATTTTACTAATAATTACTGCTAATAGCTTTAATCAATGCCGCAATGCCGGTCGTAACATGCGGTTCCTGAACACATCACAGAGAGCTTATAATATGTGTACAGATAAAGCAGTGTATCTAACTGTACATAATTAGGCATTACGTAACAGTCACATAAACTATTTACACGATTAAATCTCGAATTTAAAACCAAATAATGTGTGAAAATCGTGTAAGTTTAAATCGGTGTAATATGGAATAGATGAAATTTTAGGGAAGTTTTGAGTGAAAAAACTGTTTGGTAAAAAAAAAGTAAAAAACATGTCAGCTAATAAATTACAACCATATATTATAAGCCACCATCGCAGCTTTAATAAGAAATTTAGGGAAACTAAAATTTGTTCGGCAACTGACAATCCATTTCACCTTGCCTAATTTCGTAAATTATTTTAGTTTTAATTCAAAAATGTTACTTCCTGAATTTCATCACAATATTGTTAAGCTATATTTACTGTCGAAGTTGCATTACAACAAGCTCCAAGAGTAAGTAACGCTCGGTCTACATCATTTATTGTAAAAGATATAACAGTATGGAACAGATGAAAGAAAAGAAAGAAGGAAGGAACAGGCCGTAACAAAAATAAATATATAGAAACAGGTACGGACAACGGCATATCAGACTACACATTTTTGTTCGAAAATCACCTCCAGTGGAACGGAACAAGATACGTCAATGTGTAGCCTGATGTGCTGGCGTATGTACAATAATATAAAAACTATCCCTACAGATTAATCAAACGTAAGTAAAATTACCCCAAAAGGGCCTATATTCGTATGAAATACGTTGCTGCTTTATAAGCAATTAATTTCACACGATTGAAGGACACGTCTTTCTCACCGAGAATTTTGATGGGATTGACGACGGAACGAAGCAAAGAAAGAACGATGAAGGAAAATAATTAGAGAACGATTCAAAGTTTCGAAAGTAAGTGACCAGGAACAAGAGAATAGAATGATAATAAAGCCATGTGATCTACATCAAAAGTGTTTTTATTCCAGTCTTAATAATTGTAACTTTTTCATTAACCGCTCACGCGATACATGCAGCCGTAGACGCATACCACACCCAGAGGTGCCGGTGATGATTTTATACCGATTTATCGGATATCGAAGTTATAACAGGTAAAAGAACTAATACTAATTGCTATTTCGGTAACTACTCTAGCAAACCATAAAGTTTTTAATGTCTGGGTCTGTCATTTAAAAAAATAAACAACTTCAAAAATACGTCACGACAATCGTGTGTGTTATTGTTTGGGCTGGTGATTTCGGTGTTTATTTATTGAAAACATACCGTAAGTAGCGTTTTTTAAGTTTACCCTGAATATAAATGTTTATAAACTATACTTTAAGGAGTAATTTCATGGTAAACGTTAGAACCACTCAAACGGAATATTATCATATTTACCCAAGTGCACCAAAAATTTAATTAGTGCTTTTTAAGTGCAGGATTTGCGGTGTATTACTGCATTTTATTTGAGATGTTTTTGTTGTAGTACGGAGGGTATTTATTTAGCAATACAGAATAATAATTTTTATTTATAAATACTTGTATTTAAACTGAATCCTTTTCTAATTTGCGAAACCAAATAGCCGCCATTTTGCGGTAGGAGGAGCGCATCGCGTGAGCGGTTAAAAAAAGTTTGCTTATCGGCTTTTTTTCGATTTTCATGGGATCCTCTTATCAGATTCTGACTTCTTGGTGACAATGGGACTGTTACGGACTCCTTTGTATATTTTGTATATTCTTTTCTGGTTGTCATGGTGACGGTGTATTGTGTCAAGTGAAAAGTCAACTTTTATTTGCGGAAAATTATTATTAATTTGTGATACCCGAAACGAACCCGAAATAGCATCAGAAACCACCTCGAGAGTATACCTTTTGAAACAACAAACGAATTTTCAAAGTCAGTATACAATTGATGGAGAAATTGGTGAAAACACGGACATGCCTATAAAATTTGAGAATTTCCTTCAATTGTCATGAGATCCCCTCATTCTAGATAGATTCCGGATAGATTCTGACTTAGTGACAATGGAACTACCACAAGAGCGCATCCTTTGAAACAAAAAAAGAATTTCCAAAATCGGTCCACAATTGACGGTGATATCTGAAAACATACATACACTCGGTTAAAAAGGTGGAATGACGATGAAAGAAGTCGTATCGTCATATCCTAAATGTTACCCTGCAGGGTGGATCACCTCTAATAAATATTTACTAATAATATTTTATACTACATAAGCAAATATTGTAATTAAGAAAACCAGCGCCACAGTAAGTTATGGCTGTGGCGCAAGCTGAATGAAGTCCTTTTGCGTACGCCACAACCGCACACATGACAGTATAACATTTGTAATGGTTATATTTAGTTTTTTTTTTATTTGTTTGTTTTATCTTATTTTTATTTA